GGTACGTTAGGATGTAGGTTCAGGGTGTAAACTCAACTCTCAACCCAAACCCTAAACCGTCAAAGTCTTGGATTTGGAGTTTGTGGTTTGGGGCATACGGTGAGGAGGCCTCCAGTTTATATAGGGGTTATATTGGGATAATGGAAAAGTAAATGGAAACTATTACATCATAATAGAGTCTTAGACCCTAAACCCTAAAACCTCTTAGATCCCAGACATGGAGGTTTCCAAAAATGGGGGCTCTTTTTTGGGTGGCCTCCATAATAAGACTTCTGGCATTTTAGGGTCTATATTGGGTTCCCTATTTATGGAAACTGCCACATAGACTCTGTGGACTTTGACCTCCTAACATGGGGATCTCCTTTTCTATGACTCAATATACTATGCCCTTACGATAAGAACCCCCCTAAGAAGGGAAGCCTAGTTTCTGGAAACCCAATAGTCAATATTCCGTATCTGCGCTAGGATGACCTGAGGCTTTGAGCACAGGAATCTACATCGAAGTTTAACGGTTGTTTTTTCTTGAAGCTTCCTCGTCCACGTTTTTCCAAACTTCCAGCCAGTCAGGCAAGGTAGTGGGGATGCCCAGTTGCTTCCGCGCGGTGACCGTCTGAAGCGGCGTAGCCGCGTAGCCGCGTAGCCTTATATATTGTTGAACTTGGCGAGAAAGCGCTGGAAAGTCAGTAGCTGCAGTGACCTCCTGCAGGTAAATCTCCATGGCACGTGCTGAGAGCCAGCAATCACTGCAGCGAACTAGCTCCGCATTCTCCGTCATGTTGAGGAGCCAGGTAGCTCCCCTGGTCTGAAAGTTCCCAGGTCAAAAGCCCTGGCGAGTTTGTGTCAGGCAGGCCAAATGCCGCTTAGGATTTTTCAGTTTAGGGTTAGTAAGCCTGGGGCAGTTCCGATCCCAAAGCAGCGAAACTTGCAGCTGTGTAGATCATCTGGGGTCGAGGGCACACGGATGAAGAGCAAAACCAAAAGACCATGCAGTCTCAACACGGATGTTGCAAGATTTGGAGAGGCAACTCTCATCATTTGTTTACGTCCTACTATGGATGGAGGGGATGTTGCACCATCTAGTATACCCCCGGATTCTAAGTGGTGCAAGCTTTTCTGCATCCACCTTAGCTCCATCCTACACCCAAAGTGCCGCTCAGGGTTTCTAGCTTCTGGCCGTAGAACACCTTTAGGGTGTAGGGCCGGCTCACCCTTGGAAACTACTGTATGCCCTCTGCGTCTCATAGCACCATAGTTCATAAGTTCTAGGGTACTTAGAGCCATGCAGACTTTTTTGTGTCCCCCGCAGCCTGGGCGAACTTGAGCACAGAGCCCAAACCCTGACCCCTTCCCCATGTTGATTCCGGTGCCATCTCTATGCAGAATGGTTTGAGGTGCTGGTGGAACTAGACGTCAGAATGAGGCAATCTCAATTCGTGTCTCCAGAAAGAAAGCAGAACGAATAAATCTGCCCCTCCTTCCATCGTGTAAACGTTATATAACCCAAGCTATCCCCATCATACACCTCTTGCTGAATCCCCCTGACCCTACCCTCATTTAGCTGCGGGTACTGTTTGTGTGGATGGAGGAAATCTTGCATCACACTGTAAACCTTGTACGCCAGGAATTGCAGATGTTGAGCACATTCAAAATTCCTTCCATCCACCCCTAGACTCTACATACCCCCTCAACCCTAGTCTCGGAACCCTAAACCTAAACCCAAACCCTAAATGTCCTAAACAACTAGTCTAAACCCTAAAACCTAAACCGTCTGTAATCCTTCGTAGGAAACTTCAATAACCTGAGGCGTTAACAGACTTGCCACCCATCTTTCCGGAGCCTACAAGGCTGTGGGACCAATGATTTATGGTTTAGGGTTCAGGCTTTAAGGCTTAGGGTTTGAGGCCAAGGTTTAAGGTTTAGGGTTTCAGGTTAGGGTTTAAAGTTCAGGGTTTAAGGTTGGGGTTTACAGATCAGGGCTTAGGGCTTGAGATTTAGGGTTTGTCGTGAAGTGGCGCGGTGGCATGGTTGGGCTTGAGGGATCATGCATCTGGGTTGCTGTTAAGGAACTTAAATTAAGTTACCATAATGGGTATATATATATAGAGTAAATAATAGGGTTTCCCAATATAGTAACTTAATTTAAGTTCCTTAACAGCAACCCAGATCAGGGTTTAGAGTTGAGGATCCGGGATCTAGGGTTCAGGGTTATGAGGGGTTAAGGTTCTGTGGATATAGGAACTCGTAAGTGTTTTTCCGGATCATACAGCTCCCTGTTCCTTTTACGTTTATGTTGATACTTGAATCCAGCTTCCAATATGGGAGGTGCGCTTCAATGCAGAAATTTAGGAGTGAAGGAGGAACCGTAGATGCGTTACCCCTTTGGGATCAGATGGGTTTTCTTGACAACCCCTAAACCCTAAACCCTGTTATTGTAGCACTACTCTGTGGCACTCTTTCTGATGCCATGGCTTAGGTTTGCTACTGCAGCTGATTGCTTCTTGACAAAGTCACCTGAAGTGCCCCAGAGCTATGGGAGGGGTGTTCCGACGAATCATACCTTTTGGCAAAGATCCAGTTGTCATGCCCCTAATTTTGAACTTTAAAAGGACTCAGGTCAGATAGTTTGGATGGCGCTGCAAGACTCAGAAAACTGCGTATTCACTGCAAATGCCTCCAGTGTTTTCGAGTAGTAGCTTGCGAAATCAGCCCCCACAATACGAGCCTATTCTACTGATCAGGGTTTTGGGGTTGGGGTCTCAAAGTAGAGGAGGTACTCACGACCCGAGGCATATAGGGGATCTACTACAGAATTGTGGCAGCTATTGTGAATCAAAATTTGACTCTGGGGGGGAACTTATCCCTGCCCTGCACGATAACCCACCCCCACACAACCCCAATAATGAATTTTCCCCCTAATGTAAAACAATCGCCCGCAACCCATGATAATGAATATCCCCCGTGTAGAAAGTCTTGCAAATGAATATTCCCCCTGAATGCATCATGGTACGATATTGGCCTAAACCCGAGAAAATCATTGTGCCTCCAGACGCCAGAGTGGCACCTCCGTGCACAGGCTTCTGCAACTGTGGCTATGCTTTAGGCTCCCTATATAAAGGGGGGAGCCGTGCCTTCGAAGGAGTTAATTTTACGGGGACTCACGAGCCGCTTCTTCTGACAGTGTTGTGGCTGCAGTGGGGACTACTCCAGATGGGCATGGCGGTTGCGAAGCGAGACAACTTTCATATCATGGAATGGATGTAGTTGAGAGTGCCCATCATTTCATGCAGCAAGACCAAAGCTCGATTGGCCCCTGTCATTGCATCTAGGCCAGCCGCACAGGAAGACAACGGTGCAAAAAGTTACGGTAGATTCCCCAGAATAATTGAGGATGTCGGAGCGTGCAAGCTTTTCTAACACCTGGCTGAGTAGACTGTGCAGCCTGAAATATGCAATTCAGTGTAGAGAGGCGTTGCCCAGCACTGCGTAGCCCTGAGCAAGCATCTCCATCACTGCCTCAGTATTTTGCTGTGCTGCAGCATCAGCAACAGTTACGTATCCACCGGTGCCGCTGCCGCTGCTGCTGCTGCAAGGGGCAGGAATGGTCCCATAGCTCGGCATGCTTGGCTAGTCGACGTTGTCGAATCGGCTGAACTTCTTGATCCGCGCCACACACATGCCCTAGCCTACTTTCCTAGCGGTTGCTGTTGCCATCCAAGCCTAGAACTTTTTTAATTGATCGAGATCTTCGCAAAATTTTACGCCGACTCCATCACTTGTGCAGCCTTCACTTACTTTCCAAGGAAGCTGCAGCTCCCTCCCTCTCTCTTTCTCCCTCTCTCTCTCTCTCTCTTTCGTTCTTTCTTTCGTGCGGGCTATGGAGAGGAGCGGAAGCTCCCCTCCGGGCTTCATTGCCCAGCCCGTGTTGGGCCTACTCGGTTTGTCTACCCCTCGTTCTGTGAGGTTGCTTGGGGGCCATGGTTTAGCAACTAGTAAATATTCCAGTAGCTTCCTCACAGTTTGTGCAGTTGATATCACTGGCAAGTCTCTCTCTCTCTCTGTCTCTCTCTCTCTCTCTCTCTCTCTCCGTGTGTGCCTCTCTCTCTCTCTCTCCCTGTGTCTCTGTCTCTATCTCTCTGTACTGCATAAGGATAAGGCACCCAACTGAAAGGACTTGCCCCGAAAGTTTCACAACCAATAGAACCCATTCACGAAGCGCAGGCCAGAAGTCAAGGTACTATAGGGCTCATGTAGGCCGTATATGGATGAGATAGGGGCATATAGGGTGGGATACATTGGGTTATATGGATTATATAGGTTTTGGGGGCATTATCGTCCTTAACTATGGAAAATCAGATGGAATACAACATGTAAAAAAAGCCCTATGGGGTTGTAGGGGTTATGTTCAAGAGTCGAGTACTCCTTGTAGCAGCCTGCCAATTTGAGGTGCATAATTCAGCACTTGGAACTGGTTCCATTTCATGCATCGGGCACTAGCTTCTGCAGTGGATGCGCGTGGCATGTGAGATGCCATCCGCGAATAAGGAGGAGTTGAAACACAACAACTTGAGATGTACTTATGAGCCAAAGTCTAAACTCCTAGCATCCCACCTAATAATTCCTACAATACTCTGCCATAGAATTCCCTATGTACCCCCCTTTAAGGAATTGAGACCATCGCTCTTATGGGGCTTGGATTTGTGTAGGACATGTGCAGGTTGCAAATTGGCATCAGAGGCTTAGACATCTCAAAATTCCTCCACAGATTCAGATATCGAAGGGAACCCATATCGTGCTTGATGGCAGAATCAGGTTCAAAGCTTCAAGTCTACAGGACGGTCTAGACCTTGAACGCTGGACAATCTGGAAAACCTATATTACTATTAATATTGCTATTCTCCCTGTTATTACTGTTAATACCGTTAAAATTATTATGACTATTAATTAATTACTGATATTTCTTTCATTCCTTCACTATCATCTGGATTTTCTGAAAAGCCGGCCTCGTGATGCACCAGGGGAGCCCAAAAGTGGTTGCTGGACAGAGGTAGTTTACACCTGAGCCACGTGTTTTGCTTCATCTTACTTTACAACTCTAAACCCTAAACCTGCATAGGGGACTATAAGGTAGTTTCCCAAAATTAGGGTACCCCAATATAGACCCCAATATACTATAGTCCTTCTTATAGGGATCCCCAAAAAGGTACCCCTAATTTCGGGAAAGCCCCATAAGATCCCAATTTAAACTACTTGCCTGACTGGCGGTGCTCTTCCTCTTCTGGAGCCTTTGGGCACCCTAATATGGAACGCAATATACCATGCTCCTTCTTATAGGGACGTGAGCGTTCCATAAGGCTGCTCATATAATATCATATAATACAACACACTAATATACTGTAACATATTTCATATATTATGTATATTCAAGATAATACACTATATTATGTATATTCAAGATAATACACTGTTGAATACTGTCCTTGGATGCTGTTGGTGTCCTGGGCGCACGGTTTGACAGTTTGTTACCGAGGAGCCGAGGAGAACTCCGCACTTTTAGTACCTTAAACCCTTACCTACAGTAGGTTGAGAGGCATCGCGATTCTAGGTTCCTAGCTTTTGGGATCCGTGTCCGTGTCATGGAAAAAGGTTTAGGCAGTGAGGGATGGCGCTATGCTCCTGCTTTGGGGACATGATGTCGGGCCGCTGTAGATCAGATTTTCTGGCAAACTTGGCATCAGACCCAAGCGCCCCTGCCCCATTTGCAGATGGAGCAAAGAAAAGGAGGCGATGCAACCCCTTTCCGCTCCGTTCTAAGCCCTATCCTCGACCACCCTACAAAACTCAGCCCTCATTTTAAACAAGAGCCGTAGTTTACAAACAGCAAAACCTACACCTCCCTCAACCCAAGCATCCTTAAAACTTGGTCTCTTGCCAAAACCCTAAACCCCTAAACCCTAAACCCTAAACCCCAAACCCTAAAACCCTGAACCCCTAAACCCTAAACCCCCAAACCCTAAACCCTACAAGGCTAAGGAGCATCTCCTTGAAGGCCAGGTAGAGCATATAGCAGCACTTCAAGTGATCGTAGCTATGCAAGTCGGTGTGTTCCCAGGCAAGAACCATCCTTGAGTAGCGTTTTTTTGGGTGGTTAAACCCAGTATTTATTGGGGTTATATAGGAATAATGGAAAAGAAAATGGAAACTACTATATTATAATAGGGTATGTATTGCGGTTATATTGGGGGTTAGATTGAGTAGGGATTTTTTTGGTGGTTAAACCCAGTGAGATTTATATTCCTTATATAAAGTACTATTCCCCAAAAGGAGGATAGAATCTTACTCTAGAATGGGTACCGTAGTATCCCCAACTAAAAAAATACTCTCCTTGAGTAGAGCGGTCGTATCAATCACTGGTCTAGGGCTACTTATGGCTGCACAGAGGAGCCCAGCACGTTGGAACATCTACATAGGGTTTATGTATAGGGGTTATATAGGTATTATATGGGGAGTATATAGAGGATTTTATGGGGATAATGGAAAAATGGAAAAACTGAAGACGGCATAGTTCATCGGATTTCCATGCTCCAACGTTTTTTTGCTTTTGCCATACATGATTGGATTCTTGGGCTTAGTCTGGGGAGTCGTCGAACCAAGGGGAAGACTTTCCAATGACACTAACGCTACACATCTTAGGGCCTCCGAACCTCTGCAAACATATATGAGCTGTACTCTAAACTCCTTAAAGGGGGTGATATAGGGGATTATATATGGGCTATTACAATGGTTATTAAGGGGGATACCAGGAGTGTAGACTATGGCTCATATGGTAGCCAGAGGGAACCGCATCATTCCACAGATTCTTGGGTGTTTCTCTGATGCTCTAAGGACTTGATAGGTTTGACTGGAATCGCGGCTCTAAAGATTTCTGGAGACCATCCCAAGATGGATCCCAAACTTTTGGAAACCCCCATTTGGGTAGACGTGAGCATGACCTCTCTGAACCTTAAACCCTAAACATCTAGACCCTAAACCCTACATGAGACATGGTCTAAACTCCTAGTATCCCCCCCAATATCGCCCATACTCCTACATAATCCCCCTTAAAGAGTTTAGACTATAGCCTATGACTATAGCCCCTAAACCCAAAACCCAAACTCTTTCTAATCCCCTATATAACCCCTTTAAGGAGCCTAGACTATGGTTCACATGACCGCCCCCCCCCCTCCCCCGGTGAGCCGGGGGGCTGGAGGAGCAGCTCACAGCGCGCCTTGACGAGGGTCACCGCACATTTGGACAAGCTCGGATCCTCCTCAAATTCTTACTGGGGTATAGTCCCCCTTGAGTAGATAGAATATGGGGTATATGGGGATCTTATTATAATGTACTCAAGACCATACTCTTTCTACTTAAGGGGGACTATACTGATAATTCTTAATCTGTTATGGTATATCAAAAGATATTATTGGGGATATATTGCGATTAAATGGTGATCATGGAAAAGAAAATGGAAACTACTGCTTAGGGTTTAGGGGGAATGTAGACCCATGATTAAAAAAAGCCCTCCTTTGAAGGGCCTAAATATTAGGATCCCTATAATGATCCCTATTAAGGGGAAGGGTCTGGGGTAGGGAATTGCGGACACACATTTCATGGGGATTACTTCGGGATCATATTGCTTCATTCCCTGCTAGCTGCCAGTAAGAAGATTAAGGGTTATCTGTCACCCCAATTACCTACACGTGTTCTGGACTTTACCTACTAAGCTGCAGATAGTTGGGGTTACCCTTAGAGTTTGGGGTTTAGGAATGGTGCAGGGTTCAGAGGTTCTCATTCATGGGTGAAGAGGGGAACTGAAGGGGGTCCCTACCGCAGATGAAGCTGTGCTAAATTGAGCGTGTCTGTATAGCAACTCAATTCTACAACAAGTTCATTTAAGGGTACTCTAGGATTGCCTTGGTTTCGTAGCAGGGGCCTCCGTCATACCTTTGTAGTCCTCTCATATGTTTGTCGGTCCCTGCCAAGGCAGCCCTGTTTCGGGAAGCTTCCATATGGTCCATGCAGTACGGTACCTACATCATGGTCCTCTGAGGCCGAAACTTTCGAGGTACAGTCATTTTTTCAAGGTTTAGGGTCCAGGATCTCCGGTTTAGGGCCCTGAATCCTAAACCTGTGACCATACACCTCAAAACTGCAAGCCCGCACCGAAAGCCCTTGATCACCCCTGCCCAGTGATACCAGTGATAATTACAAACCTCCATGGCGGTTTCCCAAAATCAGGGGTACGCTTTTTGGGATTCCTGTAGCATGGATTGCAGTGTTTTGGGATCTACATTGGGGTCCCCCTATTTTGCGAAACTACCAAAAATCCCTCGATGTATGCTGGCACAGGCTGGCACTGTATGGGGACTGTTCACTGCTCGGGGTTGCGGGGCGACGGTTTTACCTATATACTTAGTGGTTGTAAGCAGGGAATAAGGAAGTATTCTCCCTGAAAAAACACTATGTGATGAATTCCCTTATTTCGTAGTAAGCAAGAACCAGAAAGTATACGCATGCGTATCGCCTGTGTGCAGCACCATACGCCGCACCAGTGCAGTGGCAGTGCCAGGTGCAAATACCTGTGCTGAACATCCCGGCGCCCACTAACTCCAGGCTTAAATCCTAAAACCCTAAACCCTAAACCAACCTTTTTGGATGTTTAAGGTGGCACTGTTACCTTGGCAATTGCCCACATGATTCCGAGTAAGGCTTGAAGCTTTGCTCTTACGAAAAGGCTCCTTACCCTAGAGCCCAAACGCTATCTTCAAGACACAAGTGTATGTATATATATATACACGAATATATATATATATATAATACATATATATATATATATTTATATGTATTTTCAAAAAAATGTTCAGGATTTAGGGTTCAAGTGATGCAAAATCGGTAAAAACAGTTCGGGGTCCTCAGCACATGCCTTGGCCCCGGCTGAAGGATTCCAAAAGGCTGATTCGGGAGTTTCTCAAACTCTCCTGGTAAAATCCATGACAGAAACCGCAACAGTTCCCGTAGAACCCATATGTACCATAGTCTAAACTCCTTAAAGGGGGTTCTAAAGGGGATTACACAGGGGATTAGTCTAGGGGTTATTAAGGGGGATACTTGAGCCCTGGACTAAAGTTCTGGTACATTCCTTAATCGGTCCCCCCTAAAACCCTAAAAATTCCCCTATAGGTCCCCCCCCATACTAACTTTAGCCCGTAGCTCACTAGGAGTTTAGACAATGGCTGATGTATCCCTGCAGCTCCCAAGAGCTCCCTACTTTGAGCAACCCCACTTTCGGCAACTCCCTACGGCCTTGGCTGAAAAGTGCTACTCGGATCAGTAACCATATATACCCTATCTTACCCCAGTTTCCGTTTCATTTTCAATGTTCTTTTCTCTTTGGGTCTCTATTATAGGGGGGTCATATTCAATCTAAAGCCTAACGCGGATGAATTTGGCTCATGGTGTGGGGTTTAGGGTTAGGGGGGAAGGCTTTTGGCTCATTCAGCTTACTCATCGGCTCATCTTTTTTTTGGGGCCGCCTTGAACAAGATTGCTAGGCCATGGTACGTTTGACAACTCACTTTGATTTGACGTAAGGCCGTAACCCTAGAGTCTAGGCCCTAAACCTGAACCCCAAACCCCAAGAACTGAACCGTAAATCCTACACGGTAGCATCCTAAGCCCAAGCCCCTGAGGTGTGCTGGACAAGGTGCCAGGCAACTTCGCATTCGCGCCAGGCGTGGTCCACGGCCGACGCCATCTTCGTTGAAAGCAAGCCGCGTTTTCTGTGGGGGGATTAAGGTTTCAGGGCTCCTCCGGCTTAGGATTATAGTCCCCCTTAAGTAGATAGAACATGGCTTTGCCATATAAGATCGCAAGCTCCTTTGTTGGAGTGGGCCCTATTGTTTTCGAGCAGTAGACGAGGATCTTGCATCCAGGAGGATCTTGCTTCACAACGAGGCTCTTTGTTCATAGCTGGCGAGATGCCATATATTACACACCATACATTGCGCTGTTCTTTGCAGCTGCAATATTTGGATGAGGAGCTGCTTGCTTCAGAGTTTAGGGCCGCAGGTTTCGGATTGAGGCTATAAGACCTCTGAGAACGATTTGGCACCAATGCGAACTATTCTGGAAAAGGATTGCGAACTTGAACTTATGGCAAAAACGCTGCGGGAGCATTCAGGGCTTGAAAACGCCCACGGGCTTTCCGAGACACGGAACCCTAAACTCCCAGGCCGTTACCTGGAAGCCTTAATTGACCAGTATGCCCTAAAACCCTCAGACTTGCGAACCCTAAGCCTGTAAACCTTCAATCCCAAACCATGAACACTTCAGCCTAACCCTAAAGCTCTACTCCAAACCTTGAAGCCCTTAAAGCCTTAACCTTTAAGCCTTGAACCTAAACCTGCGAGCCCTTCAGCTTACACCCTTTAACCGTCTGTAGGGCCAGGCAGCTCGCCGCGTGTGGCTCAGGATCTCTTGGAGAAGCAAAGCCGGGTGTACACCGGCCTCTTGCATGTATTTCAGGAGCTCAGGCTTTAACAGGGTTTTGGGTTCAGGATTTAGGGTTGGAGTTTCTTGATTGCAGGCGCTCTGATATGGAGGTTCACAAAATGGCGCCCTTAAAATGGGGGTACTGTACTTTGGGGACCCTTCAGGGGGATTATATAAACAAACATATATATATATATATGTACATATGTATACAGATGTGTATATGTATATACAGACATTAAGGATTAGGGCTTCCCAAGGCAGTGGCCCCCCTTAAGGATTATGCAAATACTGGTTGGACGCACTCCCACATCTTCCAGCAGCTGCAGCATTAATGAGAAAAGCCACATGAACAATTGCCAAAACATGACATCAACATTCCAGAATATTCATAAGATGCAGGATGTCGAACTTTGCAGCCAGAGGTACGTAAGGGAACAGCGCATCATGGATGTAAACTAGCCTTCTATGCCCATGGGTTGTTTCAGTAATTGTAAGGTCAAAACCATGGGGCCCTAGTATGGGCCCTTAACCCTTGGATCGTTACATACGTGCTATATACCCCATATGCACCCTTAAGGGTCCCTAAAGAAAAATAATGGTTGGTCAAGAAATCTATCCTTTGACCCAGTAACAGTTGGATAACGATTACAATATGAGCATGCATATATATATATATGTATGTATAGATGGAGCCTCTCAGTACCCAATCTAACCTGAAAGACAGCAGCTGCCTCAGTTTGCCAGTGGTCTACATGAGCATCCACTTGTATTCGCCTCCAAACGAAAATCCCTATACTAAACCCCAAACCCTTAACCCTATAACCTCAACCCCTCAACAGGACCCCCGGCAAGGTCATGATATATGATGCCATGGACTTCCCTGAATCACGACCCCGTCTTCCAACCCCCCAAGTTCCCCCCCGCCCCCCAATAACTAACCTCAGCTAGCTGTACCTATCCCTAAATGAGCCATAGCCTAAACTCCTAGTATCTCTTCATAACCTATATTACAGGGTTGAGGGTTTATGGTTAGGCTTTGTGGTTAGGGTCTAAACTCCTAGTATCCCCCTTAATGACCCTCATAGTAATCCCCCAAATAATCCCTTATGTAACCCTGCCTTGAGGAGTGTAGACTGTAGCTCTAACAACCTTACTTAAAGGGGAGCCTCGGAGGGGTGTAGTGGGGTAACAAATGAGTACGCGGGGATGACTGAGAGGCCTCTTTGGGCCGCTCATGGAGGTCCTGAATGGTGCGGAAGTGTAAGGCTTATCTGGGGAACAATACGGACAAGAGTTCGATAATGGAGAATCAAATGGAAAGGACGATGGAACATGACATGGAAAGTGCCATTTTATGCGATAGTTTATAGGGATTACAATAAGAGGTCCTGTCAGGGGGGTTCCTTCGATAAGGATTGTAGTACGTTGGGGTTCACGTTTGGGACGGTCTGTTTTGCTCGAAGCTCCCATAGAGGCGTTTCTCAATGTCAGTAGCCTCTAGTAGGACCGCAGGGTCTCTAGAGGTCCTAAACCCTAAAACCTAAACCCTAAAACCTAAACCCTAAACCCTAAATGAATCATCTTCCGGAGGTTGTTCATTCTGCTACTTGGGGTTTCAGGGCATTGGTTTGGCTGTTGTTGCCAGACTGGAGGTTATGGGCTTTGGGCTTTGCGGCTTTGGGAAGGTCCTGTGTTGCTAAATGATTATATGCGGCTTCTACAGGGGGTATATGTATGGGTTACATAGGGGTTTTAATCGGGGTTACTATATAGAGGATATGTAGGGGGTACATGGGGATTATAAACTAGTTCTGATGCTATCTCGACAAGCATCTGTGAATCCAATCAACACTGAGGGACACATTGCCTACGGCCTAAACCTTGAACCCCAAAAAGGCCTGGAAGCCAAGCCTCTGAGAAACCTCAAGCCCAAGAGCCTTCAGTCCTTGACCTTAAGCCTTGTATCCCAAACCCTATGCAGGTACACAGATGAATATATATATATATATGTGTACATATATAATTTACCTTCTAGGGACTCTCAACAAGAGACCCCCAACATTTTCAAATTCGCATCTTTCTACCGTCCGTTTTGCACCCAGCAAGCACTGGTGTCCTGCATCTGGTCACGGAGCTTATCTTCGAAGGCGTCCTGCTTTATGATACCTCTAGGGTTTAGGGTTTAGGGGTTTAGGGTTAGCAGGGAATAAGGGAATATGTTATATAGGGACTATACAGGGGTCATATTAGGCAGAATGCAATTAATTCGAAAGTCTTGCAGGGATTTGGGAAGTCTAGGTTCAGGCTTGGGGGTTTAGGGTTTCGGGTCTTGGGTTTAGGGTCAGGGGCTCAGCAAGTATACTTATGACCTCTGTAACCCAAAGCAGAACCCTAGATGCCCCTGTTTTAGCCTACTTACCAAGTCCCCGTGACCCGCCAAGTACGTGTAGGGCACTGCAGAAAGTTGCGTAGGGTAGAATAATTAGGGTTTAATGATTGCAGGGACTGAGAAGCAGAGTTTAGCCTGCGGCTACTTAGTGTGCAGGTACAGCAGAGTAATACTGAAGCGTACATGAGGTCGTCTATCGGGCAAAATGTAGCGGATCAAATGTAAAAGACATCACGTCGGAAGCAAAACTGGGGTGATACATTGGCCAGTACAGAGAGTTGTATGCAGGGCCAGAACCTTGAAGCTTTTTTCAAAGGTGTATCACACTAGATGCCAGAAGGTTGAAAAACCAACATTTGCGCCCCAAGATCTGGAAAGAGCCAACAGTGCGTAAATGAATTGGTTTCCATGTTTCTAGCCTGCGGGCCTGTGCAGTGTAAGGATTTCAAGGGGGGGGGGGGGTATGTGGGAACAATATTAGTATTTCGCTGCTATGTGATCACTATCACCATTGCCAATGCTCTTATTACTATCATTACAGTTACTGGTACTCTTAGTTTCACAAAGTTGTCAACGTTCAGACTTTACATAGGATGCAGGGTGCTCAGCGGAGAGCTTGCACGGGATTACCAGACGTGCATAAGGCTACTTGGAGAGTGAGGGGACCTGAGTACGCCGGTAAATAACAATGGGGATAACTTGGGTCGCAGTCCTTCTTTGGCTTCTAGGTGTTATAAGTATACCAAGTCCCCCTGACGATGCGGATTGAGAGGCATTTGTGGTCTGATGAGGGCTTCGTCAGGTCCTTTTTAACTTGCTTCTCCGTTCTGGAGAAATCCAACCCATGCGAACTAGAAAGATGTCTATGAATCCGAAACATCCCAGATGCCCGTTATATCCTAAAACCTTGAGCCAAAATGGGTAATCTCGACGCGTCCATAGCATCTTTGGATGCCGCCGCAGCTTTGGTTCCTCGCGCATATGGGGAGTTTCTCCAAAGGGGGTGTACGCTAGGGACCCTGGGACACATGGGGGTGATGAGGTCCAGCTTTTGGATTAGGAGGGTTGTCTAGACAAAATAATTTGGCACCTCCAGTTGCGGTTCTGTTGAACACGTCGCTGGGCACTGCTTCCCTATTCCGGAACTACTCCTGAAGCGTGGCTTGCAAAAGAATCCGGCGCGGAGTTCGCCAATACCATCCTTCCGTAGAGTTTCCTTGCATTCGCCGTCTCCAAACACTACAACGTTCCGAGCGGATTGGACACAAACCGCGACGGAGTCATGAGAGTTGTTCCAGCGCCTCATACAAGAGTCGTCAGCAAAAGAGATACAGTCTACCTGTTGCTGCAGTGTCTAACATCCGTCCGCATAATGGCATTCATTTTGCTGAGACTTTGCTCAAGAATATCATCTTCTGGCACCGGTGCCTATAGTCCCCCTTAAGTAGATAGAGCATGGGATATGCGGATCTTATTCCAATATATCCAAAGCCATATTCTATCTACTCAAGGGGGACTATACTTGCAGAATATGGTTTCTGAACCGGGGCGCCTACTGTCCGGAGACTCCCTGATCTCAACGGGTCCCGTGCTGGTCCTGGCAAAGTCTCAGCTTCCTTAGATGAGCTGTAGTCTGTAGTCTAAACTCCTTAACGGGGTTATATAGGGGACCACTATAGGGGATATGAAGGCGGATACTAGGAGTTTAGTCTATAGCTCGGATGGATGCGCAATTGCTCCATCTACTTTTCTCCTTACTACCCAAGACCACATTCTCTTCCATGGTAAGTCTGCTCTGCACGGATCTACAAAATGTGACCGCGACTGGCTTCAGTTTGATTTCATAAGTCATGGAGTTGTGGGCTGACCAAACAGCGGCTTAACCTGGTAGAAATAGTCCCAAGAGTGATCCGTGATTATCTGCATGATAGTTTCGCTACGTACACTTACTGGTATGCCTTCCTTGACAAAAGTTCATCACTACTCAACAGTTCTAGTGCCATGCTTAGCCCTGCACAATGGCAGTTTTCACATTTGACCACCTGTGAGCTTTGAAGTTGCTCAGCTCATCAGCACAGGGATGTAATATAGGGGTAATATAGTAATATATGGGGAATATAGGGATTATATTATAGAATAATGGAAAAGAAAATGGAAACTACTATTTGGGGTTTAGGGTGAGTGCATGGATGCCGGTCGGCTTCAGGCAAGATGCAAAACAGCATCTTTCACATCCGCAGCAGAAGCCCATCGCCTGGAGAAGGAGATCATGGGTCTACCCGCCATAACGGACACGCGGGGATTTGATACCTGGTAGGCTCAGCCCCAAAATCAATCCTAAAGCGCCCTGAGCCACACCAGAGCGAGATGTCAGTCAGAGGTTTCGCAGCTCTGGAAACCTTTTGCACACGGCAGACATGACGGTACCCGCCAAAAAATCCTCCACACTATTTGAATCAGCCTTATGAATAACATGCGTCGGGAAGGCGGATTTTCAATCAGTGCCCCTTCGCCATCTGCAGCTGGGACAACGGCCAAATGACATCACAACAGCTGTCCCGGAGTGGCAGAATTAGCTGAATAATACCCCGTGGACTATGAATCCTAACCCCCCAAGCCCTGAATCAACCCCAAACTCTCAACCCTGATGTAGCGGCCTCAAGAATAACCAATATATAGCTATACATATACAAGGAATCTAGGACCATCATACTGGTATGTATCCCTTTCTAACCTCAATACACCCCCACGATTCCTTTCAGTATCTAATCTCTTTTCTAATTCATTTTCCACTATTGCCCAGAAGTTCTCATTGTCCTTTCCATTTGGTACATATGCAGCACTTATGCATTAAACCTGTTGCCGTCTTTGGTGCCTGCGAGCGCTCGCGGCGGCGGTGAAGGGACCCACTGACCTCCACATTCTTACCGGTGCTCAGGAGGGAGTGGGGGAGTGAATCTGGGGACAAATATAGGAGTATATCCACAATAAGGGCAACCAACTATAGAGCCCCAGATGCTTTTGTCCTTCTTGTAGTGACCACCAAAAAGAATCCCCAATTCTCGGGATGTGTTCTTCCCACCCCTTCTTAAGCACCAGTGAGGATTGCTTCTATCATGGGTGCCCTACTACCCCCACAATGCTACCCCCACCTAGGCTTCCCCTCAGTTAGCCTCAACTGGCCCCAAGTATCCTTAAATTACTCCCTGGTGCTTAGGAGGGAATGGGGGAGTGGATTATAGGGATTAATATTATGATTGGGGATTATATAGGGACTACTATGAGGATCCATCACCTCCTAAGCATCAGGGAGATCACCTTCATTCAAGCAGAGCTTAGGGTTGGATGCTATGGGGAGGGAGTAATAGGGGAACCTATACTACGAGGATCCCTTCTCGCAGTTGGAGGATGACCTTGGGGAAGAAACCCTAAAGGCGCAAAAGCTCCAATATGATGGTTTCAGATAAGAACAACAATTAAGAGTATGATATTTGATACCTTTTACCTTCATGATTGCGTTCTTGGACCCTCAGGGATAATTAGAAGGATTATGGCACGAACATGGCTGTGATGTAGTCACGTAGTCATTCTGGCAGGTTTAGGTTTTCAGGAAGCCCGGTGGGAGTACAATGGTGCTCTCCCCATGTCATAAAACATATGGGGGCTTCCGGTACCTTTTTGTGGGTCCATATTAGGATCCTACAATCTCCCGATAACAAGTACTCAGTATCCCCCGTTGTTGTGCTACAATACCATAATGCGTGCTGGCTAGGGCTGCTATCCAGCCTTTGGAAGAGACAAACGCTCTGGTGCTAACTGCTAGCAGTAACACTAATCGAGACTAGTGAAATGATAGTACTGCCAAACTGCGAACGAGACACATGCAAGTTATATCAGATTCGTCATGTCCGACAACACTAGAAACAGAGTAGTCATAATACTGGTGCCTCTGCATCATGTCAAGGGCTACAATATTTCGTGGAGGATATCTGCCAGAAGACTTCAGGTATAAAGGTAGGCGTAGCCGTTTGACTAAACCTGCATAGGAGCAACGCAGCCGATGTGAAGTCGGCCTTGAAATAGGGCTACTATTGCTAATATTGCTACTATTAATTACGGTATTATCAACTACTATTACTACTATTTTTGCTAAGCCAGCCTTGAAATAGGGGAAGAAGATTTCGGAACCTGGCTTTATCTCCTGGACGCAGGCAGTGTCTAGGGCTTGAGGCCTTGGGTCCAGGACCAGGGTCTGAAGGCTTCAGAGTTCAGAGCTTTGAGCTTTGTGTTGGCTTAGGAGGGAATGGGGGAATGGATTACAGGGAGTATTATTCGGATTCTATAGGGACTACTATAGGGATCCATTCCCCCATTCCCTCCTAAGCACCACGGAGTTGCGGTGGTTCAGGGCAAAGTGGTTCGGGTTGGAGTTTCCGGGGTTCGGAGTCTCGGAGCCCTCTTGGGGATAGAAAAAGTGCTAGGATTTAGGGTTTAGGGATTAGGGTGTACTCTTGCTGAGAATGCTGGTGCCGGCACTCTCAGCATAGGAGTAGCAGTGTAAGTGGTGTTCTCTTGGTCTGCACAATCCACCAGATTGACAATGGCTGCGCAACAGCAACAGGGGACCCCGAATAATCAAGTTTCTGAATTTTGGCAACTGCGTGCCCACTTCGCGTAGCTTTCACCTATGCGCGGAACCTGGCAATCTCACAGCCGATACAACGTGGAACATT